TTTTTTTTTTTTTTTTTTTTGAGAGATGATCTTGATTTGAGAATTATCAGAGTTATGGCTCTTTTCTTCCTAGGTGACCGTTAGTCATTCTTTTTTTGGAATATTTTTCTGACTTGTTTATGATTTGTAAATAAGTTTTGTTGAAAGAGTTCACGTCCCTTTTAACTGATATTTTAGTGCTTGTGATTTTTGAAAACATGTTGCGACGTTTAACGCATTTGATCTGATCATCATATCCTTGGCGACGTTTCTTAAATTAACATTTTTTCAGCATAGTCATTTTGTACTTGAAGTCACTTTTTTCACATTGAACGTTCATATGATTGGTATATTCTTTAGGGTTTTTCTACGTTTCAGAACTAGTTTTTAGTCATGATTTACAGTCCTCTGATGTTAAATATTTTATTTGTAATCATCCTCCCAAAAGGTTTCTCCTGTTATGTGATATTCTTCCCTCGTATCATCTTGTGTATTGTTTATCACTTCAAAGCATAACATGATACCAGCTTTCATCAATGCCTTGTATCATAGCCTTTTAATCAACTTTCGTTCTTTAAGTGTTTGTTTGTTGATACCTTTAAGTTCCTCTTCGCCTCTTTAACGGAAATATTATAAAATTTTTCCTTGATCTTTTCCCAGCATTTGGTACCACTTGTTGTGCTTTAATTTTTTGATCAACAAGTGCACCGCATAAAAATTTTTTACATACGGATGTTTTCAAGCACTTCAACAATTTTATAGGCGATATCTCGCCTTCCACCTATAAAGCTCTAAGCAGTAAATCACAACAAATTTATGGCTACATTCAACAGCCTGCAGTGTCTTGATATCGCCAGAATAATTCAACTGATGACGCTTTTTTACCCCTTGATACAGTACCTCAAAAGACAATAAGCCACTCCGCAACTTTTTCAAGCAAAGGGTTGTGGGACGCAAACTTTAAACTCCTAACGGGGACACGAAATTTGCCTCCACAGATGTCAGGAAGGGTGGGAACTGGCGACGGTTCATTACAGCTATCCAAAGACTGCAAAGCCTTCTGCTTCTCCAAACAGAACTGTACCATCCTTCGTTGTACAAGTATTGCCGACATGTTTAATCTACACCGCCTGGCTGTTTCCGACACTTCCTTTTCTACTTGGCCCAACAAATTCTCAGCTATTTTTTGTGCTACTTCGCTGTCATACGCAATAAGTGAAATTCATCTAAATTTGTTGTCGTAGTTCTTTTCTCCTGTCATGGCAGAAGAATGACCAACTTTTTTTACTTCTGATGCTCGTACAAGAAAGGAGAGAAGCTAAGTCTGTAGTCATCGACCACAGTGATCCATCTTATTGACGCTCTGCTTGCTTCCTGCAGCATCCCACAGTTGCTAACGCTTGTTCCATCACTTCGTCTGCCAACTTCTGTCCACGAGTAGCTCAGGTTACAGGAAATCAGCCGCGACTCTTAGCAGTTCAGATTTTTTTAGTCCCTCTCATGTACTTCCCATGTCAAATTGGGCAGAAAAATCACCTAATTCCTTCTACAGTCAACGCTGAACTAACGCAGAAGCAAAGCTGGGTCCGCAAGCACTTAAAGAGCTAAAAGCCGGCAACGGCTCACAGGTGCTATCCGAATACTGTTGCAACGGGAAGACTTCCTTCTGTTGCCTTTCGGCACCGAGCCGTTCCATCTCTCACTGTACAACTAGGTGCTTCACTGGTTACAAAAAAGCACCCTATGACGCTGTACTCGTTCTGGACGGTCAATCTACACCGCCGCGCAGTTCCCAGTGGTGCTTCTCCCGTGTAATTCGCCTGCTTCTGCTTAGCAGTCGGGACGACCAGTCAGCTGAGTTGTTGCCACCTTAACAACACGCTTGTTGTGTCTTATTATCTGAAGAGCAAAGGTTTTGGGAATTATTTATCAGCGGTATAAAAGTGCTCCTAAAAGTTTAAACTGCTTCCCGATCAGCAGCTCGCAGGTGGGACCATAACAGAGTGCACTTTGTTTTGCACAGTTCGTAACTACATCTTTTCATACTGAAACAGAACGGAATTTGCTAATCTTGCGCGTTTGCACGGGTAAAAGTTTCACACTAATTTCAGCCAAGAAGTATGAAGCCGAGGACTTTTGTTCTGCACGATTTTTTCGTTTTGGATGAGATAACCGCATCCAATAAAGACCTTCCATAATTTATTCATGATATTTGAAATTTAAAATTTCATTTACTTTGCTTTTCTGTTTGGAAGTTCTAATCTGTCAAGTAAAACATGAGTTTTTTTCGTCAAATGAAAAGGAAGGGATATCAGAATTATCTACCGCCGACAAAACAAAGTCTACATTTTTTCTTATCCACTGCCTCCTCATAGGCAGTTTACAGCCGAAATTATCACAAAGTAAACTTGATTTGCACAGTTCGTGGCTTTAATTTTAAGTCCCAAAACTGAATAGTTTTTTAGCTTTTGTATCTTGAAGTCCAAAAATTTTAGTTTCATTACAGCTCATAAGCTTTGGCACTTCTGAATTTATAGGTAAATTTTTTTTCTTCATATGCGACCAGACCGTTTTTCTTATTTCCTCATTACGACTTTTTTGTGGTGTGTAACCTTCTGCAGTTCTTGGATTAAATCTTATAGCTCCAGGTACGCATTTGTCGTTTTGAAAGACAAAACTAGTAAGTTCATAGGTGTAAATCAAAATCGTAAAATAAAAACATTTATCACTATATGAGCTCTAAAATCTCTCGTCTCTAAAATGTTATCAGCCACTATCATCCCATGAGATTGCAGAATAATGACATTGTGCGGTTTTCTTTTTCATCTACCTGTGCTTGTTCTTTAGAGACCGCAGAAGCACAAGAATTTTCCAATGCCAACGGTTTAACGCGAATCAGAGAAGCATTTCTCATTGTATTTTGTTAATTTATGGCAAATGCACCCAGTAATTTTCTTTATGCTGACTCAAAAGCATCACACAGGAGTCGGTGCTTCTAACAGCGTTCTACCTTCCAAAACAAAAGTTTTTTAAATCTCTTAAACAAATGGTACTTTTTTCCCACATCCACGAACGACCGATGCTGTTTACATGGCGTCAGAATAACGTTTAAAAATGTTCTGGTAGCTTGTTTTGCTAAACATTCTTGTTGCCTACCAATATTACGGCTTGCTCAAATCTTTTACGTAACTCCTTGCTTTGGTTACGAAATTTCTACCCACAAAAGGGCAGGTGATAAAAGTGACAAAAAATAATTAATAACTATTAAAAATAAAATTTTTTTTCATTTATTTATACAGCTTTATGTAGGTTTATACATTTTTCAGTAAGTTATGAGTCTAACTCTAAAAATTTTATTGAATGAGCAGTAATGACTATTTTATTTATTCAGACCATAAGTACTGTGGAAAAGTAGTGATTTTTTATAATACAATAAAAATTATTTCTTCATTACTACCATTATCAAAACTTTACCTCAGTGCTCTGTGATCAGAAAAAGATTTCAAAACAAAAATTATTTTTTAATCTCTGTTAAAGGCGACAACTTAGAGGAAATTTTTTTGGAACTAGCTACTGCATACTTTTTGGTCCAGTTGGAGTTCGCGGCCGGTATGGCTACAAAAGTCACAGTTACGCTAGAAGATGGAGATGCGACCTCACCTACATAAAATACAACTTTTTTTGGTTTGAGAAGATTGAGGAGACTTACAAAGTTGATGAATATAAGTGTTTTTATGTCAGAGTCGGTTGCAACAACTGCTGCTTAAATAGTGGTGATTCTCTTCTATTCTCAAAAATTCGACTCGAAGTTAAAATTTAGTTGCTTCCTTTGTCTAAACAATAGATGTATGCCTGGACGTACAATAGTACCTCGAAAACTGCAGAAGGCAAAATCTGCGGAACGTTTAAGTGGAGAAAGAGTCGCGATGAGAGAATAAAAAAAAGGATGTAATTGAATAATTAGAAGAACGTTTATCTGTAAATTCAATGATGTCGATGCTTGTGAGTTGTAAAAAAATCAAAGTTTTTGGACCTAAAAATGCAATAACAAAAAGGCTACTCAATTATGCAATTTAAAAGTACAGCCACGAACTGTACAAATCAAGTTAACCTTGTGGTCATTTTGCCTGCGAAATGATTATAAGGAAGCAGTCAATAGGAAATTGTAGATTTTGTTTTGATCGCAGTAAATAATTTCTGATATCCCCATCCTTTTCATTAGACAAAAAAAACTTCTCATATCTTATTAACCAGTTAAAACTTTTGAGGAAAAAGCAATATAAATTAAATTTCAAAGTTTAAACGCCCTGCATAAACTACGTGGAGTTTAAATAGAACGTGTAAAGTTGATTATCAAAATTAAGAAGGAAAAATTATGCGGAGCAAAGATCTTCAGCTTGTCATTTCCGAGCTAAAATAGACATAAAAATCTCACTTCTGTTGACGCAAAAAATTTGTAAAATTAGTTCAAGTTCGGGGTTTAAAGGTACAGTCACGAACCTTGCGGGTGTGCCGCATTGTATGTTAATCCCACTTAAGCTTTAGATATGCAGAAGTGACGCAGCTGAAAAAGCTCTTTTCTTGTAGCTAGGCCAGATAAGGGAAGTACCAAAGTTAGGGTGGTGTTTTACTTATTAGCTGCTTTCGGTGGCAAAGCCAGGCTGAAAGATACAACGTACAGAGACTGTAATTTCGCTCAAATCAGTCAAAGTTTTGCTGTGTTGGAGGAGGAACGCTTCTAATATGCTCGAAGATACCAGAAAGCATTTTTGAAAGTGGATCTTAGTGACAGTAAATGAAATGCTTCGTGGTCTCTGTAGATCAACCATTTAGGTCAACATGTCCGTGCGACAGTCAAGTTATTTACTGATTTCGTGGACTGCAGTTCAAAGTAGCCTCTCGTCCTTTTTTATTGGCAGCAATGATTGGTCACCATATGCTGAAGAGTTTGAGGAAAATTAATTCATAACTTCTAGGATATTCTCTTGCATCCAATATCATAATATTGGTTGATTAATAAGGTGTTCACTTGCTATCACGTTTTGAAAAGTGTTTTCAAGAAAGCACACGCAAATAAGAAAAAGAATGTGATCAGTAATGAAGTGGCTTGTTCTAGAATTTCGCAAACGAACAAGGCTGAGGACTCACCAGTTATTGAAATGAGACTCAAATAGAAGGTCCTTAAGGAAGTCGTTGTATTCAAAACGAGCTTAGCTGGAAACGTAAGGGAACTCAAGCACGGCATTTTGCAGTCGGTTGCTAAACACTTGGACCTGTTTGGCTATTCTTCTTCTGTACTTCTTCCATTTAGGAAAGCCCCCATGACCAAGTCGATAAATAGAAAAGATAACAAATTTTAACTTTGTAATTGACCACGAATAACACTATGCTAGAGGCAAACAGGAGTGGGAGGTGTAAAAGGCCTGATGTCTAGCCAAAAATGATGACTAAGTTTGGTCAATAAAGTGAAAGTATACACCCGCGAACGTTGGTGGAACTTTTTAGCTGGAAAGCCAGTCACAAGCGCTTTTCGTTTAACTTGAGAGCTAAATTTTTCCATCAAAGTCAAAAATTTAAGACACTTGAAATTGGTCCTTGCGAGCCACTCAAAAACGGTAAAACAGTATAGCGTACCCCAAATATTTCAAGCATCAAAGGCAAAAAAATTTCTGACCAGATTCGAGATATTTTAGCAATAGCCAAAAAGTTAGTTCTTGTCATATTCTGTCGAAGCTGTTTAGCAATCAGCAGTCCAGCGAAACGCAGCTTTTTCATTTAGAATTTCCTGGAACAGAGTAGACAATTCGTAAAGCTGTGCTATAAGAAATCGGCAGAGTAATTTATAGACTCTAAGTAAATCTCCGGTATCTTATTGATTTTTTGAAGAATACACGTTGTTCTTTTATTTAATATATAAAATAAAAAAAACCACATAAGTCGTTATTCAGCTGTTTAGCATGTGATTTTGCTAAAAGAAAAATACCATTTGATCAGGCGCCAGTCTCTGATTTTGCAGAAGTGACTAGGAAAGAAATAAAACCATTCTATAATCTGCTGAGGCAGTGTCTATTTCAAACTGCAAACGGTTTTACTAAAAGAAGCCGATATAAGCACTGACCACTGATAATTTTGTTGTGGTTTCGCCAAATGCGGTCTGAAGATTGGTGTCTTATAAGGCAGTAAGCAAAAAATGTTACCATCATTACTCGTCAATAAATTTGATTATTTGTAGGCAAGGGGAAATGGTGAATATTGATTATGGCATAAGGGTTGCTGCAAAATTAGTACGAATTCTAAGTTATTTATTACTGTTTATCGGTGACCACAGTGAATGCAGCTTAATAAACAGCTTAATAAGTAGTCGTAAAGCAGGATAGTTGAAGTAATCGTCAGCTTTAGCTTCATATGTGATTTCGGTTTTATGTACAACCCAGGTCCAAATCAATAACTGAAAGTAATTAGGAAGATTTTTGTAGATTAAAATGATGTTTTCTTTGATATTTTTTACAAGCAGTTTTGTCATGCAAAATTCAGGCCATTTTGAGGTGGTAAATGGCACAGAAGAATAGTGTTTGAAGAAGTGGACAAAAGATGTCACCCTCCTGAAATGTACGATTACGGTCACCACTGTCAGAAACCAAACGATAGAAAGTCAACTTTTATTCAGTTTTTCTATCCACCTATGCCTTCCTCTTTTTGAAAGTGTTTCACTCATTTCTACAGTGAAACACTCATTAAATGTCGATATTGTTGTTCTCTGTTCTAGGTGCGCTTTTGCCAAAATTAACTCGGTTTTTTTTTTTCAAAAATAAGCAAATTGAAATGAAGGTCTTTTTCGTCTTTTTTTTTCAGTTTATTCAGTTTTTCTATCCACCCATACATTCTTTTCTTTGAAAGTGTTTCACTCATTTCTAGAGTAAAACTTTCATTTAATGACGATATTGTTGCCTTCTCTTCTAGGTGCGCTTTTGCCAAAATCAACTCAGTTTTTTTTTTTTTTTAAATTAAGCAGATCGAAATGAAAATCTCTTTCGTTTTTTTTTTTCCAAATATTCATCCTGAATCCATCAGAAAAATCAAAAGAAAGAAAGCAAACAATTTTTTGGTAGGAATTGAACTTTACAAATTGTAAAGACCGCATTTTATGGTTGGAAAGAATCTTGCTTAGTTGTTTTACAACTTCATTACTTTGAGCACAATGAACTCACTCGAGTATTACGGCGCTACCGTGGTAAAGCGCATCCGCCTTCCCTTAACATACTTTCTCAGTGTCAATCTACTTTCATTTTTTTACAAATAGAGTTCTTAACCTTAATTGACTGATCTGTGTAAGTTCCATTTTTGTCCATGCTGCTCGTGCCATCTTGCTAACAGTCTGCTAGAAAATCGTGGTTTTAATGTGTATGGCGTTTCACAAAATCACTGTATTTTTCGTTAGTGGTGTAGCGAACGGAGCTCCCGTTTTGTATTCTGAACTCAGAAATACGGAAACTACACCGTACACAAACTTTTTTTTCACTGCTTTCACGGTTATAGAGCATTTCTTGTTTTGCTCAAAAATGCCTCCCTAATTATAGCGTTTTAATGGCGTACTTGGAATTTACTAACTCACTGTGAAATGTAGCCGAAGAATTTGTTGGTAAAGATCCTCCGAAACCTGTACTCATATGTGCAAAAACGATTTATTCTCTAATCATGAGTTTGTACGGCTTTTCAACTTCAGTTCGCTGCACTTCAGAAATTAGCAGTTGTGAAAACTACCATTTTTTGATAACTTTGTCCATCTGAATCTTTTTTACCCAATTTGAAACGATTCAAACTAATTCAAACTAATTTTCCACTAGAAAATCATTGAAAAATTTTGCTTTTCTACTGAAATTGAAAAAATTGTTTATTTACTTATGTACGTACTGTACTTAAATACTGAACGCGAATTCTACGACCGTCCCCGTCCATTATTTTTGGCAAAAGGACACATTATGAAAGCACTGCAACTAAAAGCATCTGCTACGCAGCTAAGGTAGTTTGAGAAGAACAAAGAATGACGTCTACGAGAGAATGAATCCAATACTGCACGGTGAAAAAGCACAGCCGCTATCATTACAGTACTCGCTGATAGAGGCGAGTTTTGTGGAACATCGAGAAGTTGGTGCAAAACTCCGCTCTAAATCGCTAGAAAATTAGCAAGTAGACAACTCTGGATCTTTTCCCAACTAACCATCAAGGCCGAGAATTCAAATGCAACAACTTAAGACTTGCTAGCAATGAAAAAAAAGCATATTTGTAAGTGGCAACGCTTGATTGCAACAGTGTCTTTCCAAAGCGACAGTATCAGATGCGCTTGACAGCAAAAGTACTTACTTCTTTTGAAGTGGCCTCACTAAAATTTTGCTGTGGAATACATGACTGTAATGCCGGGCACACCTCATTCTTTATTATTCAAGTGCACCGACAGTAACGACGTAAATCGTCTCTCATCGAGTTCCTTCAAACTCTCTAATTTCTGAAACGTTTTTAATCACTTCGCATAGGTCCATGACTACCTCAATAAACATCCATTTTTTTTTTTATTTTTGACCATCTGTTTTAGTGTAAGGTTCTATCGATACAAACAAGTTTTTTAATATTTTGTCTAGAACGGCCTAAAAAGGACAAAACAATGATATAAGAGGCACATCATTTCCAAAACTCCTCATTAAACGCAAAGAACAATTAAATATACATCAACACGGTGTCGATGAAAGTGTACACAAAATGACAGCCTACCACTCGTTCATTTACGTTAGGAGGACAGAATCACCACCTGCGTAGCTGGCCTGTGACAGGGATTAACGTGCACTAATTTGTATTCAAGCTTCTTTAACGTTGCATTTTGACTATTCATTTATAAATATCTGGTGTAAAAACTCTTGCTGTTAAACATAATCGTAACGTACGAGGTAAATTTAAACAGCAGTTAGTGATTTGCCTCCCCCAAACACTGACGATAACCATAATAATAAGAGAGGCTGTAATATTTGAGAAATGTGATATTGTCGGTCAAAGGATATAGTTCATATGAACAAAAGAATTTATATCAATGTTGGCTCCACTGAATCGTCTTCAAATCTATACCTTCTTGTACCATTTCCCACAGTGGGCTCATATCTCGTAAACGTTTTACTTCCTTTATGCATAGCTTAACGGTGTAATCAATTTCCTAAAAATATTGCCCTAAAAAACGAGTTTTGTAATTAAGAATTTTAGCCCCAAAACTATTACTTTTTTAGTAGTAAAGCGCCCAATGCCAAAACGGATACTAGAATGAGCAAGGTCTTCATCAGCTCCGATGGCGCGTAGGACATAGGACGGCTCTAAAGAAGTGCTAGTACAGGCACTTCCAGAAGAAAGTGCAACATTCTTAAGGGCCATCATCAGGCTCTCTCCTTCAACGTACGCAAAGGACAAATTTATGCAACCTAGAAACCAAAAACCTTCGCGAAAGTAGTCACAAAATATTTTAATGGGTTTTTTTTTGCCAATTAAAGGCTCATAAGAAATTAAGTTTCAAACCATACGAAATAGCAATTATATATAAAATGGAGTAATTTGAAAAATATAAACAATTCAGAACCATTCCATTAGAGCCCACTATGACTAAAATGGTAAACTGTTTTTAGTTTAAATCAAACAAACCAAGAAATGTTTCTTCTGGGTCACCATTGCGAATCACGTGCGTAATATTCTCGTTTATCTTCTTCAAAAAGTATTCAGCCAAGTTTTTTATGTGAGCACCATCCATTTCCATCTCATCTTTTGCAATATCACAGGCCTACAAAGAATCATCATTGCAGCTTTATAATAAGGAGCAGAAATTAGAAAAATAGAATTGATATAAAATGTAGCACCTCCCCCAAACCAACAATTAATGGCACAGGCAAAGTTCCAGAGCGCATTCCACGTTCCTGTCCTCCACCGGACATTTGGGCCTCGATCCGAACCCGTGGCCGACGGCGTACATATAGTGCTCCAACACCTCAAACCAAAAAATCTTAACAATATAGAACTCAGAATGTAGACTTTCCATCCATTTTGGACGCATAAAACATTGGAGGCGCAGTTCTAAGCATTAATAACAATTAGTTAAATGCAGTCGTATCAATCTTTGGTATCTAAAATCAGGATAAAAAACTAATCGATAAAAAGAAAATAACTGTTATCAAATCTCCAAATATCAAACAAGGAGGTTATGCTAGAACAGCTAGTAAAATATTAAACCCTATAACACCAAGTAAAGCAGCAATACTTCAGGTGTTGAACTGAAAATATCTTATTTGATAATACAAATCATATACGCCGATGGATAGCACTTAGTGCAAGGGTAGCTAAAAGACAAAATGAAAGACGACCGCCAAAACTCATTGACTAGTCGGATTTACGCTAATAACTATCTTCTCTTCCTAAAGCATAATTGAGTTCTGTTTCACCTTATAATTCTCCGATGTTTAAAAGAAGTTGTTGTAACGGTAAAGCTAAGCGAACTATCCCAGAAGTTCATATCTCACTTAATAGAAGATCTATAACAAGGCGCGGTACAACCACTTTAATTTAAAGTACAAGAGCAATTGACCTCAATCTGCAACATTTCCCACAAAAAAAATAACATAATTTCCAGTCTTGAACATTGGACGGTGAGAATCTCAACTTTTTTTGAAATTAAAAACTGAAATGCTAAGATTACCAAATGCCTCTCTAAATTCTCTTTGAATCTCTTTCAGCAATCTGTTTTACCGAAAAAGTTACCGAGAACAGAACTTTTTTTCAGAAAGTCGAACCAAAAACAGTAAGAATGACAACCTTTAGGGCCATAAATTTTGTGGCCACTAATGGACATTAAATCAATTTTCATGTCGTTAACGTCGATCGGTACTTTTCCTACTGCTTGGGCTGCATCACAATGGAAGAATACTTTTTTTTTCCTGCAGACAGCACCTGCAGATAAACAAAGATTCATATCTGCGAGTTATCCAATGAAGCTAAAACAATCAAATCAGCGTATTTGCAAGATTCTTTCCAACCTAACAGTTTCCTTTGAATTGGAGATATTTTTTGTGATAGGAAAAAAAGTAAATAAAAAATAAAAAAGAGCAATTGATAAAAACAAGTCCTATGACGCAATATCAGGAAAACAGTACAGTTCTTCTTAATTA